CTTTTACTTAACGCCCTATGATAAAGTTTCACAAACTTTTGCATAAAGTATTGCGTATCTTTTGTTGGACTTATTTGGAGCCACCTCGAGGTTTTCATTGCTTTTGTAAATGGAATCTTAATATTTTTCCATGCAAAAAACTCTGAATCGCAGTAAAATGTCAAACTTACCATCTTTTAAAAAAAATTTATCTATTTTATTTGAGAAAGAGAGAACGTGAGCGAGAGAGAGAAAGAGAGAGAGCAGGAGCAGGAGGGAGAGGGAGAAGCAGGCTCCCGGCTGAGCAGGGAGCCCGATGCGGGACTCAATCCCAGGACCCCAAGATCATGACCTGAGCTAAAGGTAGATGCTTAACCAACTGAGCCACCCAGGTCCCCCTGAAATTTACCATCTTAAAAACTTACCAGTTTTCAGTATGCACAGATGTCAAGTGCAATTACATTGTTGCGCAACCAACTTCCAGATCTCTTTCCCTCTTGTAAGGCTGAGACTCTGTACTCATTAATAACTCCCCATTCCGGGTGCCTGGGTGGCTCAGTCGTTAAGCATCTGCCTTCCGCTCAGGTCATGAACCCAGGGTGGTCCTGGGATCGAGTCCCACATCGGGCTCCCTGCTCTGCGGGAAGCCTGCTTCTCCCTCTCCCACTCCCCCTGCTTGTGTTCCTGCTCTCGCTATGTCTCTCTCTGTCAAAAAAATAAATAAAATCTTTAAAAAAAATAAATAAATAACTCCCCATTCCACCCCAGGTCCCTGTCCCCTGGCGCCCACCATTCTACTAGGCACTATGTACCTCATAAGAGGGGAATCCTACAATTTTTGTCTTTCTGTGACTGGTACATGTTCAATTCTAGTAGGTTCTGTCAAACCATTTTCCAACATGGTAGCCCCTCTCTCCACAGGCCATGGACAGGTTCCAGTCAATTGCTTCACATTCCCACACTGGTTTTCTGTCTTGAGTTTTTTGTGTTTTCATCATTCTAGTGGGTGTTACTGGTTTTAATTTGTTTTTCCCTGATGATTGAGGTTAGTGCAATTTGTGGTCAATCTTTTTTTAAATCTACACTTCCACCAGCCTCCCTGCCCCACTGGATTATCTTATTTCATTTTTTTTTTTTTAAAGATTTCTTTTCTTCAGTAATCTCTACACCCAACATGGGGCTCAAATTCACAACCCCGAGATCAAGAGTTGCATGCTCTACCGACTGAGACAGCCAGGTGACCCCGCTGGATTATTTTAAAGCAATCCCAGACATCCTTAGCATTTCCTCCAAAAATACTTGCAGGGTGTATCTCTAAAAGATAAGGTTCTCTCTCCCTCTCTCCCTTTTTTAGCAAAACCACAATACCATTGTCATACTTGAATGTTCATTTGATCTGTCATTTTGGATATTCTGGCTAGACAGTCCCGCGGGCTGCAGACAGGGTGGAGGGTGAATTCTTCTGGGTGGAGGCAGCCCCTCCTGGCCCTCACCCTCCCCACTCCCTTTAGACCCTCCGAACCCACTGCTCTCCCTTCAGGTCCCCCCCCCCAACACACACACACACACACACGCACGCACGCACGCGCGCGCGCACACCCCTTGCTTGCCTGACCCTATTTCTTTTCAAAGGCTGCTAGGCGTGTCTCCCACCCAGGTAGCCTGGTGTTTTGATTCTTAAAGCCTCTTATTTTGTTGGTGTGTTTAACCCTGAAGACTGGCCCCGGTCCAACTTTTCTTAAGGTCTTGATTATCTCTGTGGCTTCAGTTGGAGGAATTACTTCTTGTGGGCAAAGGTCTGTGGGTTCTATGGCTCTTTTGTTTATAACTGGGTGCATTGTTGACCCCCCCAGAAGCTGGGTTGGGGGAAGAGCCTGGAGGGTTTCACACTGACACCCCAGCTTCTCCCCTGCCCTAGGAAAAATGGGCATTCCAGGGAGGGCTGAATCACATCTTAAGAAAGGGCTGGATTATCCCCAACTGCCTCTGGGAGTAGGCCTCTGTCCAGATACATCCCCACTCTTCTGAGAGCAAGGTTTAACTAGTTAACTGCTCCCTCCGACCTTCGCTCCATACCAAGGGGCTATTCGCTGTCAAGTTTCTTATCCTGGGATGAAAATACAGCCAATGGCCTCTGGACAGGAGAGGTAGGGGCATGGAAACCAAGCTGGTGACCCTTTAATGCCCTTGGAATTAATCACGCAGCCTACTTCCCAACACCTCAGTGTTCCAGAGTTTCTACTTCTGCAAACTGGCCAGGCAGGTATCCCCCCACCCACAGGGGAGCCCTTCTCACCCCATCCCCACCAGAGCCACCTCCCTGATTTATAGCAAATAATTTTTCAAGCTGCCTTTACTCTTTTGAAATGAAATACTCAGATAATTAAACCTACTTCCACAGATAATTCTTAAAATGTTCATAAAATAACCCTAACTATAACATAAAGGTGAGATAAAAGGAGAGACATAATTTTCAAAATCCCCTGGGAACTTGTTACCCGGGCAGACCTGATGATTCAGAATCCACGTTTTTTGTGTTGTTTTTTTTTAAAGATTTTATTTATTTATTTGAGACAGAGAGAATGAGAGACAGAGAGCATGAGAGGGAGGAGGGTCAGAGGGAGAAGCAGACTCCCTGCCGAGCAGGAAGCCCGACGCGGGACTCGATCCCGGGACTCCAGGATCATGACCTGAGCCGAAGGCAGTCGCTCAACCGACTGAGCCACCCAGGCGCCCCAGAATCCACGTTTTTTAAAAAAATCTCCCCGGGGAGTTTGATGTAGCCCCAGGATACTCCTCCCTCCCTGTGGGCTCCCTGGAGCTCCATAAAACCCACAGCTGGCACTGCCTAGATGAAGAGATTTTCTGGTTTTGTGAATTGGAGAATAAACCAGTCAAGTCCCCACCAAGCCAAGCACAATCTTCCAGTTGACCCAGTAGCTGCATGCCCTGGACAATTCCGTGTAAACCCACTTTACATTGACATGCAGAATGGAATTGGGTTCTAGGCTCAGATTAACAGGCTTTCTTCCTCCTACACGAGAATGCACAGGACACCAATTACCAGAAGAAAGGAATCCAGGACAGTTCTCTACTGAGTGGCACTGTCTTGTGCGTGGCTTCCCAGCGACATCCTCTCCCCATTCCCATGGCACCAAAATGCCCCCATAACCTTCCCAAAGGGCCCCTAGGGTGCTTGGCACACCACCCCCCTCCTGGGAGCCATTATTCTGTTCATCACCTTCTAGGTGGTAGGCACTTCTTGACCCCATTTATATTTGTTTGTTTTAAAGATTTTATTTATTTATTTGAGAAAGAGAGATAGCCAGGGAGAGCCGAGCAGGAGGGAGGGACAGAGAGAGAGGCAGACTCCCCTTGGGGGCTCGATCATCATCACAATCACGATCACGATCATGGGACCCTGGGATCATGACCCGAGCCTGAGGCAGACAGTTAACGACTGAGCCACCCAGGTGCCCCTAAGATTTTATTTTTAAGTAATCTCTACACCCAACGTGGGGCTCAAACTCACAACCCTGAGATCAAGAGTCACATGCTCCACCGACTGAGCCAGCCAGGCGCCCCATTTGTTTTTCTTTTTATCAGAGTACAGCTTGGGCCCTCATTCCAGGAGTTCACAGAGATTGCCTCTGAGAAGAATTAAGAAATGGGGAAGAATCTGACTTGTCAGTGTTGCCTTCTTATCCTACTTTCAGTTCTTAAACTTTTTTTTTTAAAGATTTTATTTATTTATTTGACAGATGGAGACACAGCGAGAGAGGGAACACAAGCAGGGGGAGTGGGTGAGGGAGAAGCAGGCTTCCCGCTGAGCAGGGAGCCCCATGCAGGTCTCGATCCCAGGACCCTGAGATCATGACCTGAGCTGAAGGCAGACCCTTAACCGACTGAGCCACCCAGGCGCCCCTTAAACTTTTTTCTAACCTTAAAAAAAAAAAAACTTTTTTGAACTCATATACTTGGGTCATAACCAATTTTCATAACCTCATTATCAAAACGATTTCCACAGCTGACCTGTTACGTGAAAAAAATAATTTTCGTTATGGACAGAAGGGTGTAATGTCTAAGATTTGCTTCAAATTTTCAGCGGGGAGCAAGTGGGTGGGAGCGGGGATGAAACCCGACTGGCCAGGAGGTAATCGTGGACCTGGGTGCTCCTTACACTGTTCCACTTTTGGACAGGTTTGAAAACGTCAAAAGTTCATTGAAAACGTATGTGTTGAAAAGAAATAGGCCAGGGTAATAGTCAATCTATCTTTCAGAATTAAGGTCTCCCACCCAGACTGCTTGTGCCCTATTCCCCTTCCTAGTCTAGTCCTCCATAGCATTAATTAGCTTCTAACGCACTATGTAATTTACATGTCATGTCTCTTGTTCGTCACGGCCCATGTGCATTGTCGTCTGGTTTAACGCTTTAATAATAAAACGGCTTCATTCTTTCCTGTTTACGGAGAGGTTTTCCAAGGTTGGCAGGAGATTTTTATTTTTAATTACTTGCCCAACACTCTATAATTTGCTTATTATGTCTTCTGTTCATCATCTAAGTTCCACATGGACAAGGATCCATGTCTGGTTTTATTTGCTGATACTTATAACTACATGTGTGGCTTACATTTTGTTTTGACTGGGTAGAGTTAGTATAGAGGTTAAAAGCAGGGATTCTAGAGCCAGCCTGGCTGGGTTCAAATCGAAGCTCTGTCATCTACTAGCTTGGTGACCCTGCGCAAGTCACTTGGCCTCTGCCGGCCTCGGTTTTCTCACCTGTGAAGGGGGCACATAGCGGTACCCACCTCAGGGGGTCGCCACCCTGACTGGTAGGAAGACGCTCTGTAAACGGTGGCCGGTGTTATTTCTGGGTAGAGCACTCATTTTTGGAGTCAAAGAGATACGCCTTTGGCGCCTACCCCACCTGTTTTCTCCCGTGAAATGGGGATAACGTTGCCCCACCATAAAGGCGATGGGGATTTTTAAAGGAGTGAACGGGTGTGAGGCCTCCCGCCCGGATGCCTGACCAAAATAACCGCAGTTGTTCCTCTCCAGGCGTCCTGCGGCGGAGTTACCCGCACTCCAAGAGGCGGGCGGCTGCGGACAGACCCCGGATCCCGGCGGCCCCGCCCCTCCCTCGTCTGCGGCGTCAGGTCCGGTTCCATAGTCCTCCCCACACCCGCCACCGGGGGAATACCCGGGAAGGAGGGGGTCTGGCGAGTACGGATGGTGCGGGAAGGGGCTGGCTGGGGGCCGGGGTGGGGCCGCCGGGCCGCCAGAGGGAAGGGAGCGCAGAGACCGGCCGGCCAGAGGGAGGCTGGGCTGGGGGCTGGGAAATGCTGGCTGTTAGAAAGGGAGGGGCTGGCGAGTAAAAGGATGGACGCTGGGAAGGGGACGCAAGGGGACAGGAGCGAGCCCGCCGGCGAGGGGCCCTGGCTGTGATCCAAGGTAGGACTCGGGGGGCGGGCCGGCCCCGGCGCCGCGCGCAGGGCCGGGTGCGCGGGGCGGACTGGATCGGGTTGGGAGGTGGGGGCTTGGGACCCGGGCCCGGAGCCGG